TAAATTGATCGACAAAATTTTAAAAATCTTAAATAGTGGGCCAATCATATAGTGCTGTCCTATGATAGTAAATCATTAGTATCTAACACCCCAGTCTTGAATATTTATTGATGTCTTTTTTAGATAATGAAATAATTGTAACTCTTTTTACTATGGTCTTTAGTTAAAATAAATGTAGGTTGATTTTCATATCCACCTTCATTATTTACTAGAACAGTTTTATCTTGAAGAAATTCTTTATTATTATAATTTTCAATATATTTAGAATAGGATATATATTTATCAGGGTGATTAGATAATATTTGTTGATAAACGATAGGATTATCAACGCTCATTGAAAAAATAGGATATTTATGTTCGGTTATACCAAACATCCAACATTTCTGCATTTGATCATAATGGCAACGAAGTATAGAGGTCACTTCTTTTTCTTTAGGATGTCCTTTGAATGCCAAGGAATCGAGTTTTTTCATGACCTCAAATGGGAAACGGTTAAGATGTGAGTCGAATGCGGTGGCATCTGCTTCTACCATAATGCCACCTTCATTTATAATTGTTGTAATTTTTTGAATAAGAATGCCATATTCTGGTTTAAGATCATTCCTGCACCTACACCGGTGGTCCTCCAAGTTATTCTTTTACTTTGTTCTAGGCCAACTACCATATCTTGTTAAGTTTTGTGCACTAACAGTACGGATATCTTTCCCACCAAGGATTTTTTCTATATCTACGACTTGGCTTTTCCCAAATAGATGAAACCATGAAACAGGGTATTCACCTCTTCGCATAAGGTTTAGAGTGCCTTCTATTAATACATCGGAAAACCCTAATTTCCACAATTCTTCTCGGGTTTTAAATTTCCCGATATACGGGAGACCTGCGGAATATTTCATTTTTTTCTCAAGGTATTTAGGAATAACCCCAATTGGTGAGACCTTGGAGTCTCAAATGCTTCGGGAATTGTTCAAAAATTGCTTCACCAACTTCATTCGCTATACCTTTTTTTTCGTCATCTAATATGGCATACTTAGGTGTGTAGCGTAAAGAACCTTTGGCTAATAAGGAACTGTTCTCTTCACCTAGGATCACACCATCACCTCCTTGATTGGTTATTTTAAGATACTTATTGTTTCGTTCGGTTAGTTCAGGAACAATTGTATATTTCCCTTTTTTAAGGTCATATTTAATTGCTTCTTGTTCAGAAAGAGCTAAATGAGGTATATTAACCTTTCGATGAAAAGATGTTATATGAAGATTTTGAAGCTTGGCATCAATGTCGTAATTAGGGATGGGAACGGCTACGGCTACAGCCGGCTATAGCCATAGCCGATATTAGCCGAGCCGAGAGGCTTAGCCAGCCGGCTAAAATTATAGCCGATGCCAGATTTTTAATGTCCTGGTTGACAAAATAATAATCACAGCATAGTTATATCAAAATTTTAATAATTAAAGCTTTTTGAGATTTTGTCGGAAGGTTTTTTGAGTGTTTAATTTTGATATAAAAGTTTGGGATTTTGTGCTTCACTAATTTTTATCAGAAGCGATTTTGATATCACAGGCGTGTAGTACGTTATTAATGTCGTGTATTTTTTAATTTTTAAGGTGCAATAATTAATAAAATATATAACGAAAGTCTTTGTGTCACCAGGGTGGTATATTATTTCGTTTAAATTTAATAGTAGTTCGATTTTGATAGGGTGGCAATAATTTATTTATTATTCCGGGTGGCACCAAGACGATTTTTATAATATTTTATAAACGTATAGGTGTAAATTTTTGGAATAACGAAGATAATTTTGGTAAATCGAGGTTTTTGTTGATTTCATAAAGAGTTATTTATTTAGTTGTTATAGTATATATATGTATGTTTGTTACACTATTTAGATTTTTTAAATATATCAGTGTGTAAGAGTGTAAGTTCGGAATTTGTTATAATACCGGGTAGATTATTATGCGCAAGTTGCAGGTTTGTTTTTATATGTCATTGGGGTTATGTTTTATGATGTGTTTTTGGGAAGTAGATATTGTTAAGGTTATGTACGTGTTTGGGCAAAAAATACCTACTTATTTGCCGGCCACTCAAAAAGTATCATTTTTGATTCACATATCCAAATCAGATTAGCTAAAAAAAAATTAACATAGTCAATTATTGTAACATTTAGATACATACACTTCTAAATCGGATGTATCAAAAACAACACTTTAAACAATGGTCATCGGCGCAGTAAATGGCCGGTAAATAAGTAGGTATTTTTTGCCCTGATTGGTTTTGAGGTGTTTGTTGGATGTAATTATAGAGGTTTTGTTAGGGTAGTTTTGGTGGTAGTTAAGATTTTTACGAAATTTATGTTTTAAGTATGTTAGTTAGATATAGTTAAATTTTCTCAAGCCGTTTTGATTAACGTGATTTAATCTTCTATATTCATTAATGACATCTTCATCTATTTTATTGAGGCAGGATCGAAGGAGTATGTTAATTGAGTTCCACGACGGGGCTCTGCTCATTGCTACATATACTTGGCCAGTGGTGAACATATTTTTGTCTATTGTTAAGGTTGTGTGTGGTAATGTAAGGCCTTGTGTTTTGTGGACAGTTAGTGCGAATGCATTTTGTATCGGGAATTGGTGCCTGGATGCTTGAACGCCATTGATGTTGAAGTATGCTGTTGTTTTTTTAATATTGATTTTTGTGATTTCGTTGTTTATCGGAAAAGTGATTTCGATTTCATTTTTATTTATTAATTTAGTTATTACGCTGATGGTTCCATTACATATTCCATGGTCGAAGAGTTTGTTGTTAAGATACATTACTCTTGTGCCTTCTTGAAGAATGATTTCATCGGAGAGATTAGTATGGTTTTTAAAGTGGAAGGGATTGTTATTAATATCTAGGATTTTGCCATCATACATATCCACGGGTTTTGATATAATAGTATCTGAATTTTCGTCACTGTGCGGTAAATTATTGCATATGAAGGAGTTAATTTCATTTGCGGTTTGTCTAAGACCAACTATATGTGTCATTAAATTGGAGATTTTTTTATTTATTATGTTTATCGATGTTTTAGAAAGGGTACTGAATCTTAGTTCTTGTAATAGATTGTAGAATTCTGGATCGCTTTGGCTGTGTTAGGAAAAGGGAAAAAAATAATTTTCATGCAGGTGAAAAAAATATCTGTTGACCATTAATAGGAGGTAATTGTGCTAGATCTCCAATTACGAGTATTCAAATTCCCCCAAAGGCTTTATAGTTCTTGTATAGTGAGCTAAAGATGTTGCTTACAAAGGTTAGTAGTTCACTTGATACCATCGAGATCTTGTCAATTATTAATGCTTTAAATTCTAGGAGTTCGATTTTTGAATTTTCATTTTCTAGAATAAGTGTTTGATAATAACCGTCAAATTGTCGAATTTTAAGAGCCAAGTGTATAGTTTTACCACCTATACTTTGAGCAGATACTCCAGTGGGTAATAGTAGCAAATATTTGATATTTTTTGTGTTAAGCATATTGATTATATGAGTGTCGCCAAGGGAAAACCTGCAAATCTAAAAATAGATCATTTATGAAATTCATAAATGATCTATTTTTAGATTTGCGGGTTTTCCCTTGGCGACACTCATATGGTGTATCATAAACGATTTTTCAGTACCTGCTGATCTGGTCATAAAAAAATAAGGATACCTGTTTTTCGATTCTATACTCCACGAATTACACAGTATATCATATATTTTATATTGTTCTTCATCTAGAGATAGGATTGATTCAAATAATTGTAATGGTTTTTCTAGTGAAATCAGTTGTTTGTATATAATTTTCCAAAGGTCGTTTTTGTTTAGGTTTTCTAGAGCTGACTCGATTGCTTTTTTAAATTTTTCTGATATGGTGCTCAGGGCGATCAATGAATCATTTGAAGCTTGGTTTATAAGTTGTTAATATCTTGTCAGATATTCATGTTCAAATCTTTTTTTGGAATTAGGGTAATTTCCTAGTAATTCATTTTGGGAATATGCTGGAATTTTCATTAGTAGGTGGTAGAAGAAATATGGTTCGCCATTTTCAATTTTATAGTTTGTAAATCTTATTAATATTGGTTTTTTTTTTAATTACAAATCTATTTTTAAGATCTTTGGTTATATATAGTTTTGAATTTTGACCTGGTGTTTTATTTTTATATTATAGTTTTTAAAATAGTCAGAGTAGGTTATTGTTTCAAATAAGTCATTTTTTGGTTGGTCAAAGTATTTATCAATTGCATCGTCAAAATATGGTTTGTTATTTTCATTATCGTCATCACTGTCACTATCATTATTTTTTCTTTTGTTATTAGTTATTTAAGTAGAGTATTGTTAGATTTAAATATTTTAATATGATTAATATTTACTGAAGATTTTATCTTTGTAGATATATTGGTTTTACTGAATGTATTCTTAATTCAGATAGTGCAGACAGAAGATATTGTACTGAAGTTAATGATCTTGTTATTGGATATTGTAATAGTAGTATTATAAGTTCAATCAATTCTAGTCTTCTAGCTTGTATGTCTTTTATAAGAGTCATATTCTATTATGTCAAAGAGTTCAGTCGGTTTAGGTTTAGTTGCATATTTTGTTATATATTTTCTAAATCTGAAGGTAGTAATGTATTGAAAATTTATATGGTCTTGTCATAATAATAAGGTTTCTGGGTGATAGGAAACTATCTAATAATCAATTTCTTTTGTTCTTTTATATGTATATTATTGTTCAGAGCGTAGTGTAGGACTCACATATTTATATGCTTTGATAGCTGAAATTACTATTTTGATGCAGCTATAATAAAAATATCAATAACATAGTTTTGGTGTTTTCCATCTGTAACGCCACATGTCTAAATTTGAATATTTGTGTAACAACAACATAAAAACAAAACTTTTACGTGACAATATTACATTCGCCTAATTGGCTAATGTAAACCCGGGTAACTTATTTTGGTACAGGTTATCCTCATTAATATCAACATATTTGAATTGGTTTTAAATCATGTTGATAGTGATATTAATGGGAATTTTGATATAAAAATTTTATAAAATTTTGTTTTATGGCTTAGGTTGATATTAACAGGAATAATCTGTACATATAAAATTGTAATTTATGTAACACAGATTTGGATCTTTTTTTAATCTCTGTTTTTGTTACCCAAGTAGTAAAAATTTGAATTAGGACCGGGATTTATAAGATTAGTGGGGGTTTTTTTTTTTTTTTTTTTTCCACTTAGGCAAGTTGTGCCAGTATATTTTATTTAATCAAGTCATAACTCTGTGGAGAGTGCATTACATTAAAACTGGAATCTGATATCTTGCAGTTATCTCGCATAACCTAACCAATTACCTACATATATCTACAGACGACTTGGCTGTACCAGTAAGGTACAATCAATTAAGATAATACCTACCCAGGAGGCTTGTCTGACTACTGCCCTACAATAGGATATCACCAATCTGATGATATTTTCTTGTAAAAAAGTAAAAGAAAAAGAAAAAGTTTTAAAACAAACACAGAGGTATAGGGGAATATGTAAAAAAAAACAAATAAAAGAAAATAAAGGGGTAAAGGGAAAACGAAAAAACTAAACTAAACATGTGATTTTTTATCCACACTGAACAGTTACAATTATGAGCCTGTATCAAGCTTTAAAAATTACATATTACTATCTAAACTATTCTCTACACTAATTTATATAATTAATATGTTTAAGCAAAAAATCTCTTAGGAAGAAAAATATTAGCTTCTTCGAAATCGGCACTGTAGAGAATTCAGAAATCGCACTATTGGGCTCGGAGTATTGTTTTTCCAGGTCACCACGTTTGAGGCACATAATCCACATATCCACATTCCATATGTATTCACATGTTTGTTGTGACAAGTAAAAAAACATAAACAATACTGCCTGATTTGATAAGTAAACAATATGTCAATCTTTTGGAGAGGTAAACTAAATCACCTACTGTTTTACAAAATTTTCCTCAAAAAAAAAGTGGTGAGGCAACGAAAATATATGAGGTTCTTCTGTAAGTTTTACAGTCATATAGTTGATTTTTCAAGACAAAACTATCTCAGTGAGGGCTGGTTCACTCTTGCTCCTAGAATAAACTTTCTAGTTTAGATGCTAAATATCCTGAGAAGTCTACCAGTACAAGAAAGCTTGACCCCAAGAAGAACCACTCAAGTTACGTCCGCTTCTCAGTATTTCACATCTTTCAAGCTTTGTCAACAGCAACCTGTTCAGAGGTAAGTTCAGTTCCCAGAATATCTTCTGGTTTGGATACCAAATATCTTGAGGAGTTTATTGAAAATACAAAAGCTTGACCCAAAAAAAACCACCCAAGTTACACTGCTCCTTAGTATTTCACATCTACAGGCTTTGTTGACAACTGCTTACTCAAAGACAGAACTGAAATAGTATTTATCTTGGAACTTCCTATAGCATTTTTCTGTAGTTCGATTTTTTGTTGCATTGTCCAAAGGATCGTTGGAAAGAGTTGTTTTTTTTTTTTTATCTCTTCTTTACGTTAATATTTTTTATACTTTTTTTTTTGTAGCTTTAATTTGTTAGAAAGCCAGATTGTGAAGATTAGAACCAGAAGTTTTGAAGATAAGTTGTTTTTCTTTTTTTTTTTGTTTTCTTTGACCTATTACTAACTTTATTTTTTTCATAGATTTGCTTTGTTTAAAAACCGGGTGGATAGTAAGAATAAATGATTTTGACATTTGATTTTTTTTTTTTTGTCTAAACTATTGCTATATTTTTTAATTTTATTTTTTTGTAGGTTTGCTTTGTTTGAAAACCAGGTGGTAGTAGGGATTAAGACCTGGATCTTGTAAGATAAGTGATTTCGTCATTTGATTTTTTTTTTTTTTTTGTCTTTTTCAGCTTGAACTAATACAATTTTTTGTTTTTAGGTTTAGTTAATAGTGCTGCTTTTTTGTATATTATCATTTATTGATACGAAAATTCTGAGCTTTCACTATCATTTATGAGGCTTTCGTTGATTCGTTGTTGTTAGTGATTTCAATCTTTCACCATTTCAGTACTGTCACTTGTAGAGACTCCAGGCTTTTATTGTTTTGATAATTTACTTCACTAAGAAACGTGACAAAAATCAGATAATTTTTTAGGGGAAGGGGTAAAAAAGTTAAAATTATATATAAGAATCTGATTTTTTTTATATTAAGAGGGGGGAGGGGGTAAGCCTCTGATAAAAAATAATCAGATGATAAATGACACTGCCCTAATTCTTTTTAGATGGGTTGGATATAATTTAGTTATTTACTACTTTTTTCTTGTATAGGTATCATCAGAACATGGAACTAGCACCAAGAATAACATTTTGGTAAGTTTTGCTAAAATGTAGAATCAGTGCTGGGAACAGTACTTTGGTTTTAAGTTTTTTTTTTCTTTGTTTTATTTTTCTTCTATTTGTCATTAATTACTTTAATAATTCTCTTTTTTTTTTAGATCTATATAGGTTTCGATAAAATGTAGAATTAGCACTAGAAGTAGCACTTTAATCTTAAGATATGTTTTTTTTGTTTGCTTTTTCTTTTTTTGTTATTTATTTGATAGTTTTTTTCTTTAGGTCCATATAGGTCTTGCTAAAATTTATCAAATTAACAAGAGTGACATTGGCTCAAAACGTTGAGTTAGTACCATGGATACTTTGTAGTTTTATGTAGTTATCTTTTAGGTGTAGAAAGATCATGTTTTTTTTTGTTAAATTTTAGATTTTTTTTTTTAGATTAGAGTGTTATTTTTTTTTGTTAGAGCGCGAAAGTGGTAATAGGCCCAGGATTATATATTATTACTATATTATTGTGTAATTAATAAATTAAACTTTTTAATAAAAAATTAGGTAATTTTTTTAAATTCGAATTAATCACTAAATGTTACCTATTGCTTTGATTCTGGTTTACACTTCAATCTACATTTATAATTAATTATATACTGGATATAATATAAAGCTAAATATAATATATAGGCAGCTAA